GTGGTCCTAGTGGTACCAGTAGTGGATATGACAGCATGCAAAACCAACTGTTGATGCCAAATGATGATGGCCGATAACTAACAACCTATTGCTAGGGCCTTTGTAAATATCAAACAGAGCTTGTAGGATTCTTCTTTGTAAAAGAGGATAAGATGGTTATGGTAAAAGAAGTTAAATTATAAAAACAATTTGTGTCACTGCTAGAATTTGTTCGTGAATCACTATGTTGGTCCGCATGGAATTTCTGGAACTAGTGATTACAAATCTCATTTTTTCTTGTTTGCCCCGACATTTTAATTATTATAATCTTCTTTTTTTGGTTGGCCGGACTTCAATTAGTTTTAATCTTTGTTTTAATCTCGCCGGACTTAACAGAGAAATAAACCAGTAAAGATGAGGAAGACAAATTAAACCAGTCCTATCTCCTTTACTTCATTCCTCTTAATTACTCAAAAGTTTAATTAAGTGGTGAACATATGCCATGGCCTTACGTGGGGATGGGAGGATGCTCGCTATGCAAGTAATGATATTGATGCGACTGGTTGTAAATGCAACAGCAGCAACAGCTCAAGCCCGGCCTAATTGCCAAGACAAATGTGGTAACCTCACAATCCCATACCCATTTGGCATGGGTGAAGGCTGTTACCTCCGACCAGAATTCAACATCACTTGTGATCAATCCACCCCACCGCCGTCAGCCTACTGGATGGGCGGTAGGAAAAGGATTACCAACTTTTCTGTCGCTGATGGCGAGTTGCAAATAATGCTAGACGTAGCCATGGATTGTTATGACGATTCAGGTGAGGAAACAGAGGACAGCTTCTCTACTTGGCTAGAGCTGCCTCCTCCTTACAGCATGTCCCATACACAAAACAATTTCACCACAATAGGCTGTGACACTGTAGGAATCTTCGTAGGTGAGCGCTCGGGGGATGGAGGCCCAAAGAAAGAAAAGGTCAAAGCCGGCAACAGCGTCACCTTGTGTGATGATGTTCTTGGCGACGCACTTCCAGACTCTTGCTCTGGATTTGGCTGTTCCCAAGCTTCCATCCCCGTTGGACTGCGAAACATTTCCACTTTTCTTCAAAGCCTGACTGTCGGCAATCGATCGGGGATTTATAATCCGTGGTACGCTAAGTACCCTTGCAGCTATGCCTTCATTGTGGAACAAGGCAACTTCTCATTCAACCCCAACACAACTTTTCAAGAACTCAACAACTCAAGGCAGCTTCCAGCCGTTCTGAATTGGGCAGTTGAGGGTGAGTCATGTGATGCAGCTCAACAGAGCCCCAACTTTCCATGCAAGGAAAATACCAAGTGTGTCGAACGGACGACCATCGGTGGTCCGCCTGCTTACATTTGCCAGTGCTCGTCAGGTTATCTAGGGAACCCGTACCTCCCAGATAGTTGCCAAGGTCATCCCTATAGCATACACACACACACACACGCGCGAAATATATAGATATGTGTCTAATGAATTAATAATGTTCACTTGCCTGACTATGTTTTGTTAAAAACTATGAATATGAACCATTGATAAGGCTCATGCCTGAATATGTGAACCTAAATTCACAGTTGTCCGGCAACGTAAATTTGACAAGAGAATAATTATACTGTCTTATAATAACATGTGAATGTGTGTGTTAGTTGTTTTTACTGGAAA